GCGACGCGTCGATGAGCCGACTCCGCGTCGGCACTCGGCAGAGAAGCGACGCGCTGATGAGCGGGTTCCACACCGACACTTGGAGGAGCGGCAGCCGGCCCCACGCCGACACCCTAACGAGTCGGCCCTGGTCGAGAGGCTGCAGAGAAGAATCGAAGACTTAGCAAGAAGGGTGGAGGCACGGGAGCAGTCGCCGGAACCCGAGGTACGGATGTCAACACCATTCTCCCCAAGCATCATGGACGTACCTTTGTCGAGGGACTTTAGGTTGCCCGCCATCAAGGAGTACACGGGGGCCACTGACCCACGTGTTCACATGACGAGGTACAAGGCTACTATGGTAATGATCGGGGCAGGGGACGCCATCATGTGCCGAGCGTTCTTGTCCACTCTGGATGGAGCGGCCCAAGACTGGTTCAACACCATCCCGGATGAGTTGATTCAAATTGGGGAGTTGTCCAAGAGCTTCCTGACATACTTCTCCGGTAGCATATAGCGTAAGAAACCCTTCTCTCACCTCTGTGTAGTGCAGCAAAATAGAGGCGAGAGCCTCAAAGACTTCCTAATATAATGGAAAAAAGGAAGTCAGTAATGTCTACGACTTCGACTCCAAGGCGGCAATCCCGATATTTATCCATGCCTTAAGATCAGGGTATTTCCACAAGCAGCTGAATGCCCACCACCCCCGCTCTTACGAAGATCTGATAAGGACGGCTAACCGCTATTCCGAAGCAGAGGACGTCGACAGGAATAAGAAGGACGAAGAGGATGGTAGGAAAGGTGGGAAGCCTGGGAACTCGCCCAGCCAGGCACCACTCTCGAACCACCCGACCGCAGGAAAAGGCCAAGACCACGAACGACCTCGCCTGGTCCCCTTGCATAATTTAACTACTCTTACCCATCCCATCAGTGTCATCCTAAAGCAAGCTGAGGAGATGGGAATGGTAGAATTCCCCGAGGAGTGCATGAAGGTTTCCCCAAAGTCAGACCAAACAAAGTACTGCAGGTTTCATAGGCAAGCCGGCCACGATACGGATGAGTGTCACGTTTTAAAGAGACAAATAGAAGAACTCATCCAGCAGGGCTACTTCCGACATTTCGTCAAGCGATCCAAGCAGCAGCAACAGCCACAACACAATCCACCAAAAAATGTCTGGAGGAATGAGGATGGCACCGAGCCGTCCACCTCGAACGCCAAAAAAAAGAGAACATGACCAAATATCTGAGCAGAATGATAACGAGAAAGAAACCGAGGTCGCGCCCAGACGACAAAAGAAGCACACCATACACTTTATCTATGGTGGACCCGCAGGGGGTGACACGCCTGCGGAAAGAAAGAAGTGGAGCTGGCAGCTATACGTGGGAGAAGTGGTGAGTCTTCCCAGAGAAAAGAAACAGAGAAAGGAGGCCATCACCTTCTCTGATGATGACCTCCCAGAGGGCCCGTTACCCCATCGTGACGCCCTGGTGATTGAGATGGACGTCAACGATGTCATTGTCCACCGCATCTTAGTCGACACGGGAAGCTCAGTCAATGTGATGTATTACGAAGCCCTCACCAAGTTAGGGATACCCAAGAACCAGCGGAAAGAAGTACGTACCCCACTCTCTGGATTTACGGGTGATTCATTGGAGACAGAGGGGTCAGTGGTCTTACCAGTGGAGATAGGCACGAGCCCTAAAATTCGCAAACTTGACATGGAATTCATTGTGGTAAGACTCACTTGTGCGCACAACATCATATTGGGGAGGCCGGCACTGGAGAACCTCAAGGCCATAGTGTCGGTGGAACACTTGTGTATGAAGTTCCCTACACCGAATGGGATAGGAGTTGTCAGAGGAGACCAGCGAGCAGCCCGCAGTTGTTACGTAAAAGTGTGCAAAAAGATTGGCAGAAAGGATCTACAAGGCCACACCATCTGCAAGGATGATCGACCGGGTATGGAACTCGGAACATTTGATTAAGTTTTTCCCTAATATTTTGGTAGTCATTTGGGACTAGTGCTTGGTAATCGCGGTCCGCCCGGTTTATATTATGAAATCTTTTGGGATAATATCTTGTATTCATGGTTCGGCCATGTTTGTTTATTGAAGCATAATCATCATTTACGAAGCGTCTTCGGAAAAATGGTCTGCTCATGTTGTTTATTGAAGCAAGTTCATTTTCGGCATCCATGGAACGCCTTCGAAAAAAAAATAAGCCGAAGCCGATCGGCCGAGGTGCACGCCTCGGCCACGACCGGTCGAGGCGACGCCTCGGCCGCGATCGGCCAAAGGCACGCACCTCGGCCAGCCTAGGCTGCAGCCAGTCTCAGCCGCAAAAAAACAAAAAAAAAAAAAAAAAAAAAAAAAAAAAAAAAAAAAAAAAAAAAAGAGAGGGTCGAGGCACACGCCTCAACCAAGTGGCCGAAGCGACGCCTCAGCCATCTGGCCCAGGCACTTGCCTCGGCCAAGTGGCTGAGGCGTGTGGCCGAAGCACAGTGCCTCGGCCACAGGGCGGGGCACTCGCCTCGGCCAGCTGTAGCGGCGCCCCAGCCCGAAGCCGGCCCACACCGCAAAAAAAAAAAAAATAAAATAAAGGAGAAAAAAAATGGTAACGATAAACCGCAGAAACCGACAGATGGTGACAAGAGCTGATAGAGAGGTGCTCAAACCGCTCGGGCAGGAAAGGATTTGGAAAGCACAAATCATGAGGGATTTGGAAAACAAAATCGCATATCCTAAATCACTCAGGATTCTGCGCAGCCTCAAGATAGATTCAGCCTTACTCCCAAGTCAACTCAAACACATCTGTAGACTCAGGAGTATGGGGGACTGGTGACAGGATAATAGGGCTGGCACCCGACCCGGATCATAAGTGGGCATCAGACCCGGCGCCATATTTGACCCGGCACCACATGGAGACCCAACGGGCAAAACTCCATCGGACAGAATTCCAACAGGTGTCACCTTTATTGCAATTGAAGCCACCATTGATGAGAGAGAATTAAAGGCTTGGCTCCCCATTTATGTCCCATGTTGTTACCGTTGGCACCTTTGTATAAGTAGTTGCTCCCCTCAGCTTGAGGGGACACGTTCAATACTCTGGACAAAGACACACTGTATTTTTTATACTGAAACTAAAGCAATACAACTACTGTTACAATCCGTTATTCTGATATTATTATTACCGGTAACATATTTACCATCATATACTATACGCCCCACACACACACGTGTGTGTGTGTGTGTGTGTATATATATATATATATATATATATATATATATATATATATATATATATATTAATTACATACAAATAATATATGTACTACACATATAATACATACGTATATAAAATATACATATATAATTATATGACCCAAAATGATTTGTTAGTCTATATATTCTTATGCCTTTTACTTTATGCACTTACGTTATCTCTGCCATTTTCTCATAATCTTCACTTTGGTGATCTTTTGAAAATTAATATTTCGCTTTGCAAATTTAGTTTTGACAAAGATCCTTTTAAGACTATACAGTTAATCTTCAAACAAAAGTACATTATGTTTCAAATTTTCACAAATTTCCTCGATCTGGTATTTTGTTTTCCAAAGCCATTGGGAAAAAATGTTACCATGCATGGTGAGGAAAAAGTATTTGCATGCTTCTTTGTTAATTATTTTGATGTAAGGATATGTTAGTATTTTCCATGAAACCAGGAAAATGATTTAAGCAAATCATTTTTCGGTGTTTCCAGTGTTTAAAGAGTGAAAAATGTGAGTCAAAAGAAAATGATTGTTTAGTCTAAAGAAAATACATTCATTTTCTTGGAAAATGACTCAGCTCCCATTTTTTTTTTTGGGAAGTTGTTTTTTAATTTCTAAACCACCACCAACACCACTATCACTACCACTAGCACCATCACACCACTACCACCACCACCACACCACTACCATCGCAACCACCACCACCACACCACCAACTCCACCATTACCACTAGCACCACCACAACAGCACAAGTACTAGCACAGTAGCACCACCACTACCACCACCAACACTACACCACTACCACTACCACTACCACCAGCACCAACTCCTCCACCACCACAATACCAACACCATACCACCACCACCACAACAACACCACTGCCACCACCATACTACAACCACTATACCATAACCACCACCACCACACTACCACCATTTATATTATTATTATTATTATTATTATTATTATTATTATTATAAATGTTCTTATATTCTAAAGAGTAAATACCCAAAATGGTCCCTCGACTATAGCTAAATTCACAAATTGGTCCTCAACTTTCAATTTTAACCAATTAAGTCCTTAACTTTGCAATTTTAACACGATTTGGTCCTTCAAACACTTCTGCACAAACGCTGGCGCCCGCGCCGTCATGGACGATCTCCAGAAATACCCGCAGCTCTCACCGGAGCACATGGAGGCCTCCAGGATGACGCTGCACCGGTTTGGAAACACGTTGTCTTCTTCACTTTGGTACGAACTCAACTACATTGAATCCAAAGGGAGGATGAAGAAAGGCAACAGGATTTGGCAGATTGCTTTCGGCGGTGGATTCAAATGTAACAGTGCGGTCTGAAAATGCAACCGGAACCTTAAAAAATCGACGATGGACCATAAAATTACATATATATCCTCAAAAATCACAGTCAATAAACGGTCAAATAGACGGAGGACCAAATCGTGTTTAAATTACAAAGTTAATGACTTAATTGGTTAAAGATGTTAATACTAATTTTAGTCCTCCGACTATTAACTAATACTCAATTTAGTCCCAAAGTATTAAAAGTACCTAATTTAGTCTTTTAACTTTTAAAATCACACTTGATGTAGTCCTCCGTTACAATTGCCGTCTATCCACCTTTATTTTGAGGGTAAAGAAGTCATTTTATTTGGTCCAAACCCGTTTCGTCCTCTGTCGCGAGTCCATAAATGTTTATGACTACTACAACAATGGCTTGCCTTCAAATCTGTCATGTGGGCGAAATCCCAGCTTGGATTATGGCTTCAAGGGGGCAGAAATCGCGATGGCGTCTTACTGCTCAGAGCTGCAGTTCCTTGCAACCCTGTCACCAATCATGTCCAGAGCCTGGAGCAGCATAACCAGGATGTGAACTCTCTGGGGTTCATCTCGTCGAGGAAGACAGCTGAGGTGCTTGACATTCTGAAGCTCATGTAACAATCAATCTGAAATTGATTCAGAACAGAACGCCCAATCTAACGCTAAACTTCAACCCTAGCGCTAATCAAACACCAAGCCATTGACCCGAGGCATCTGGAGGAGAATCTGGAGGCCTGCACTAAAAAATGCAATTAGTCAGGTTGCCAAGAAGGTCTTGACAGTGGGGAACAATGGTGAGCTCCACCCTTCTAGGTTCTCAAAAAAGGATCTCATAGTCGTGGACAAAGTGTATGTGTTCGCATATGCTGATGACCCGTGCAGCGAAGGGGTATTGTTGTGTATGCAGCTTCATTTTAGGGAGGAATGTGCTTTATCTAATAAAATGACGCTTTTACCCTTCAAAATAACGGTGGATAGATGACAATTGTAACGGAGGATCACATTGGGTGTGATTTTAAAAGTTAGAGAACTAAATTGGATATTTTTAATACTTTGGGAGTAAATCGAGTATTAGATAATAGTCGGAGGACCAAAATGGGTATTAACTCAGCAATTAATGTCTCATGCAATGGCACATGCAATATATGTCTTCGTTTATATAATATAATTGTGAATAATTATTTTAGATTTAATTTATAGAAAGTCAAAAGTTTTCAGGCACTATACACGTACGTTTTGTAGTTCTGCCGTCATATTATAATGTTTTTAACGTAAGATTCGCTGCCAGCGCGCAATTACATCCAAATTTCATTTAATTTCAGCCATCATAGATAAAGGAACCCTCTAATCTGTACACTATAAATCCGCAACCAATCCACATATAGATTCATCCCAAACTAACATACACTTGTTAATATATATAATATGGGGAATAATTCTGGTTCAGTTTTATTAGCTGTTATTGCGTTGTGGCTAGGGCTAGCAGGGTTGAGCTCAGCCCAAAGCTGTGGGTGTGGTGTGGATAGTTGTTGCAGCCAGTGGGGGTTTTGCGGCACTGGGGATGCCTACTGCGGTGCCGGGTGCCAGCAAGGGCCATGCTATGGCTGGCCGGTTTCCAGCATCGTCTCGGATTCCTTTTTCAATGGAATTGCCAGTCAGTCGGCTCCAAGCTGCGAAGGGAAGGGGTTCTACACAAGAACCTCGTTTCTTCAGGCCACCAACTCATACCCCGAGTTTGGGACAGTTGGAACCGCCATCGTTGCTAGGCAGGAAATCGCCGCATTTTTTGCCCACTTTACTCATGAAACTGGATGTAAGTAGTAATTTGTTAAGCTAATACTAGAGTTAATCCTCGACTATCATTCTTACCCAATTAAGTCTTTAACTATTCAATTTTTACCCAATTTAGTCATCTGTTAATTTGACTGTTTGTTGATTCTCAAAAGTGAAGATAAAATTGTAATTTTACAAGTTTTCTCCTTCCTCCCCATTTAGCAACGCCAAACCATGTAGCAATACGCTCCGATCGGCTTTCGACCATCAAAAAATCGTTTGATATCAAATTCTTGGGCTCTCCGAGGCACAACCGGCCACTACTTCGACACTGACAGGTTTGGAAGCCGACCAGAGCTTATTGCTGCATGGTTTGGCGTTGCTAAATGAGGATGAAGGAAAAAGCTTGTAAAATTACAACTTTATTCCCACTTTTGACAGTTAACAAACAGTTAAATTAACAAATGACTAAATTAAGTAAAAATTACATAGTTGGGGACTTAATTGGGTAAGAATAATAGTCGAGGATCAAATTGGTAATTATAGCATAATTGAGGGACCATTTTGGTTATTAACTCCTAATACTAGCTAGCTAGCTAATACTCGGAGGACCATTGGAGGTATTAACTCTATACATTTTACTTTGTTGTTTCAGATATGTGCTACATAAACGAGATCAACGGTACGTCCAGAAACTACTGTGACGCGACCACGACACAGTGGCCCTGTACTCCAGGAAAGAACTACTATGGTCGGGGACCACTCCAACTGTCCTGGAATTTCAACTACGGACCGGCTGGCTTAAGTATCGGCTTCGACGGTCTGAACAACCCAGACATCGTTGCCACAGATTCAGTTACTTCCTTCAAGGCCGCCCTGTGGTTTTGGATGAATAACTGTCATTCTCTCATCACCTCCGGTCAAGGTTTTGGCGCCACCATTCGAGCAATCAACGGGCTACTTGAATGCAATGGGGCTAATCCTGCGGCTGTTAACGCTAGGGTTCAGTATTACCAATCATACTGCCAGCAATTTGGTGTTGATCCCGGTAATAACCTCACCTGCTAAGATAATGTAATTCCACTCCTGGCCTGTTTTTAAATTTTATTTTCTGTTTGCATGCATGGCATGTATTGTGTGATTGGTTTACAATAACGCAGTTTGTTTTTTGTTTTTCTTTGTCTTTTATCCTCGAATAAAATTAACGAGAGGATTACTTGTAAGAGTACCCAATCATTAATAAAGTGATGTTTGCCTCACATGCTTGTTCTAAGATGATATTTTCGCCTATTTTAAATTTCTTTAATCAATTTAATTTACTATGTGAATCAAATTGTTTTATTACTTCAATTCTATTGTAAATAAATATGTGTAGACATTAATTAATAAACTTGTAGTTATACTGAAATTCTATATATTGTGTATATATTGGATTGAAGGATAAATAACAAATGATTGATGATTCTCTCTGATCTCATTTACTTCCCTACAATTAGAATGATACAATTGTTCAGACGAGAATACGTCTGATTTAACAACACGTTATCAGTATGAATGCTCAGATTTCAGGTACCTCAGTACAACTTGAACTTGTGAAACAGTCTTCTGAACCACCAAACTTGAATGCATCATTAGTCAAGCAATGTGAACTTAAAAGTTAAATAGACTTTTTCAAAAATTGTAACTTAAACCAATTTTAAAAAAACAGAGCTTATTACTAGCTGATAGCAAGGTGATAGGCAGCAGAAGTCTTCAAGATTTTGTAGCTTATTTTAAGTTTTCAATCATCTTAAAGATGTATTAGCGTGTGTATATAACTGTTTCAATTTGTTGAAATATAAGAGTATAAAGTAAAGAGATTCAGAGAGAGAGAAAGAGATAATGAAATAGTAGTTCGACAACTTTTTACTTCTCTCTTCTCTTTAACGTCCAACGAAGATTTTACTAGTATCTTTTCAAAAATACAAGTGAACTGATCATACAGTGTATCCGCAAAGCACTATTGATCTCAATAATGTTCATTCGATTCGGATGTCCCCTCTAATCTTCAACACTAATCTCCACTCCAAGGGTCAACCACAAAGTCGCCTTTAAGTAACTGATCACGACAATGAATCTGGATAATTCACAAGGAAGCTCTAAGTGGCTCTGGATATATGAACTATGAAAGCTTCAAGTATCTATCTCTAAAATTGCACAGTGATTCAACAATAACAAAGTAATTCAGTCTTTTTGAGCTTTGGAGTCTTCTATTTATACGATAAAAGTGATGGTAGACTGGTAATCTTCTAGAATTTCTTAATTAATATGTTATCCCAGCGCAACAGGTGTCCAACTCCGCCACTAATAACTCCAATGTGCTACAAATGTACTTTTGTCATTTTCTGTAATGACTTTTTGTCCTTTTCCTTAGAGTTTGCACGAATTTAAAAAGAAACCGGGCAACAATTGTCTTTTATTCCTCCCATGGCTAGGAGAAATCAAGATGTTTTCATCTTAACTGCTTTTGAAATCTTTGCTGGCGGTTTACTTTATGATTTCTCCGGATGGTGAAGTAACTTAATTAGGACTTCTTTTGAAGACAAATTGAGGACCTAGTAAGTAGGCGTCTGCTAGTACATTATGCTGGTCAGCGTCTTGCTGGTACACTGAGCTTGTCAGCTTAATTATATTCATATCGACCAACCAAATGTTGTACGTTTTGTTTGAGTGGAGCAATCTATAACCACGATCTCTATCGGAACTTCAAAATTATTAGGTGGAGTGATTGAAATGAGGTTTGTGTGAAAAGTGTATTTTGTTGATGTGAGATATGAGATAGAGAACAAATTAAATTTGAGTGTTTAATTAGCTCTTAACAAATGCACCATTGATGGAGAAAATAGATTTCTCCATAGAAAAATATGAATAGTATAAAGTGATAAAGTATTTGCAGGAAATTGATAAATAAGCAGTACCCAAGGATATTTAACTATGGAAATCACAACGGTAAAAATCACGGGCCTTTTAGACTAAGCCAAGTCGAAATCCACTATATGTATTGCAGGTACATGTACAAAAGCATCCATGGCCATGGAGTGGAAGGAGAAAAGTACGCAGAAGCACTAGTACAGTAAACCACATCAACTACACCTTTAAAAGGGTTTCCACTACACCTGTACAAGTGTAGCGAAATCCAGTGTCGCTGAAAGTGCCTAGCTTTCTGCTACACCTACAGCGTGTGTAGCGGAAAGTCATTTTTTTAAAAAAAAAATTATGACTTTCCGCTACACCCGCTACAGGGCGGGTGTAGCGGAAAGCATTTTAAAAAAAAATAAAATTATTACAGAGGGTGTCGCGAAAAGTTACCTTTAAAAAATTATATATATATATATATATATATATATATATATATATATATATATATATATATATATATATATATATATACATTATACGAAGAAAATCAAAATACGTAAACTATATCAAAGTACAATACAATACAAGGATAACTCAAGAAAATCAATTAATTGTGAAGATATGTATATAATAAACCCTAAATACTTATAAATACAACATATCTTTCTGTACTAAAATACAATAGATTGATCAATAATAAGATATTCCCAAAAGTATTGCTAGAACAATAAATAGCATGTCCAGAAGGTAAACATATAAGCCATTACTAAGTGAGTCCAGAATCTGCAATAAATGTCAAGTGAAAAACATAATGAAAATTTATTTAGGCAAAATTTGAGCACAGTAAGTATGGAACTACATACACAATTAAGTACTCTTCCTGTCCTAAAATATTGTCATGCTTGCAGTGGATCTCTAAAACAAATACTAAAATTCATTTGAAGAGAATTCCTATAGGGCTTCACATGTATATTTCCACATAGAATGCAAGAGAACAGATTATTAAACTATACATCTTTTGTACTAAAACATGCAAGAATCTAAGACAACTCTTATATTTGCTTCCTCTACTTGTTTTTGCATTGAATGCAATGCCTCCTGTAGCTTTGCAATGTCTCCTCTAATTCAGTCCCAATTTTCAGACACAAACTGCAATATGAGGTAATTGATGGATATATATAGAAACTAGAAAGATAAACAAAAAAACATGTTCAATAATTTGGCTTCTATATATAGATATCTTTAAAACTTTTCAAGTGAAAAAACTTACATGAGGTTTCACTCATGATCAACACCACCACCTCCTATGCCCACAACTAATCAATACCATCATTCTATTTAATCTTATTATCCCACCTTGAGATCCTTCTGCAGGACAAGTCATGAGAGCTTAAAATGAGCTGTAGGACCATCAGGTAGTCCTATGATGAGTAGAGCATCTATTGGGGGAAAGCAAGTCAAATAACTAATCAATAAAAAGCATCAAAATTGAATAGCAGTTACAGTCAGTAGAAATATATGAAGAGTTAAAATTAGAAGCAACAAAAGTAATATGGCTCAGAATACAAACTTGGTTCCCAACGATTAGTGTGTACAACGATAATGGAAGTAAAATCCCTTCCTTTTGTATGTCTTAAGACATACAAATTATTACGACTAATGAGCCTGGCACGGTCTGTTGATCCCTGAGCCTTTATATAAAGTAACCCGTTTGAAGTTTCAACTTCCCTTAATCCTCCCTACTTTCTCGCCATAACTTCTTCTTCCTCTTACTAATAATAATAATAATATAAGAAATATTATATTATTCCAGCAATACCCATCTTCATCTATCCTTTGCTGTACATTCATCTCTTTCTTCAAATTCACCATTCTAGGTAGATTCACTCGGTGGCACTCTGTTAGTTTAAATTTTGTTTGAGAGACTTATTGCAGCAATGTGATGCAATTGATTGACAATATACCACGATTGATTACATTCAAAGAAACAAAAGTACATTTTGTGAAACAAGTACTATAAACCTCAATCAAAACAAAAGAATCAAAGGAAACACTACCTAATCAAACTCAAAACAGAATTTTTGTTGTTGCTGCATGCCATCAAAGAGTCCAGTTAGCTTCACTTCCAACCCTTGGCATTATTGTGTTAACTACCTTGGAGTAATGATCAACTTTGAAGTCAGCTCCACACATTGCTCCTTCACTGTCAACTCTTGCCATTGCCTTCATCTGCTTCATTGGATGCTCAAAGCTCATCAACCCTCTTTCACTGTGATACATGCAACCTGCACCCATCCATTGTCAACTCATTATATATAGGAAACTTCTAAGCTCCTAATCGACTCTGATGACTTTTGTACTGAATCCAAACATTATGCTATTTGGATCTTTAATCATTTTGGTGTCGATTTAGAAATTATCATAAATCTAGTACAGTGTGCAAGATCACTACTGGAAATTATGGAATTTCCGACCACTTGAAAGTGATCTTAAATCAAGTCGAAAACCTTGTTCCGATCACTTTTGGTATCCGAAAAATCCTTTGTTGCTATTTCCGATCACCTTTTGCTTTCGACTTGACTTAAGATTACTTTCAAGTGGTTGGAAATTTCATAATTTCCAGTAGTGAATTTTGGGCTAATACATACCATGGGGGAATGGGGCGAATGACTTGGCGCAACTTGCTTTCATGAGTGCCACATTGTCAGAGATCATTATAGATCCATCCTCTGCAATGCCCCAGTAGAGCTTCACTGATTCATTAGCACCCTGTCCACAATACCAGGCCAACACAGAAGTTAGTTAATTGTTATACCATGGACCAGGGCCCATCTTGCACCTGGACACTGGTTCAAAAATTAGATGTCTACAATTAACATATATTTTGTACATGTAATTATTGTGTCTGTAAATAAATTAAAGTCGCATAATTTCAAGATTTGAAGGGGTGGGAATTGAACTTACTAGAGCAGCAAAAACTGTTCCAGCTTTGTGATCAAAAATCACAAACCCAAAGCTGCCTTCCAGATCCTTGAGGACTTGATGGGCAGGGTAGGGGCCTCTATCTCGGAGGGTCTGATATGCTTGGGTCACAAGCATGGCCTCATTGGCCCCCTTTGATAACCCATATTGCCTGTTGAGTGAACACAGATTGTGCAGGCTCCCCAAGAAGATGCAGTACATGTCATTCACCCCACAGAACAACCTCTGCTGTACGAGGTTTGAACAAGGTTGAGCAGAGGAATATGCCAGAAATGCCTTATCACCAAATCCTAGAGAAAACCCATTGCTGGGATTCGCAGATAAGAAATTGTTGATAGCCTCTTGAGGTGGGACAACCTTCATAGATGACCCCAATGAGGCTGGGCTACTTAGCTCCTTTGGTGGATTCACCAACTCTTTCTGGAAAATTGCCAACATTTTCTTCTTCTTTCTTCTTCTTGCAAATTTGCAAAATACTCTAAAAGGAACAATATAATGTATGTTTGCGACGACTGAATATGGTATTGGTTTTGGTTAATTTGTTGCAGAATTTATAGGAATGAATGAGAAGGAAGAGAATCATATTCCACGTTTCAACTTTATCCATTTGGATATATTAGTTAACGCGTGGATTTCTTTTTTCTTAAATAAACAACACAACTACTGCAGCTAGATAGGCCATGTGGCCAATTATATTAGTTTTCATTTTCAATAATAAAAAATTGGGATAAGGGTCAAATAGACCATCAAAGTGCAATTAGCCTCTCAAACAAAAAAATATATATATATAAAATTCAATTAAACCCTTAAACTTACTAAAAGTGTGCAATTACCTTTTTTAACAATTTATCAAAAAAGTAACAAGTTAATTTTGCTTGCTTGGCATCTACATGACATTTTATTTAAATATTTTTTTTTAAAAAAAAAAACATAAAAGAAAATAATTGCCAACGGATTCGTCCGTTCGATGCCGGCGAATTCGTTCGTTAGACACTTCGGATAAGCTCGTTGGCTGCGGTGGTGACGGATAAACTCGCTAGCTTCTCTTCTCTGTTCATGGAGAAGCCAGCGAGCTTCTCCGTCTAAATGGAAACAATAGTGGAAAATGTAACGGAAGTTATAATGGTAGGGGTATGTTTGTCCAAAATATTTTAATGTACAACCTTTATTGCATAATGTATAAAAAAAACTTAATGGAAAAAACGGACATAAATGAGAGGTATAACTTTCATTCACACTTATTATGTTTTTAGATTATTGTTCTCATAATTACTATTATACACTTTTTTTCCGCACAACTTGTGAATCGATATAATTAAATTTAGAGTTAATTCCACCAGAGATCCCTTGTTTTTTTGTGGCAATTTCAAATTTAGTCACAGACTATCGTTTTTATCATTTAACATCACTAAAATTATTTTTTGAACACTTTTAGTCTTCCTCATGACTCTTCCAATTTTTAGTAAGGACATTTTTGTCTATTCATATTTTTATTTTGTTATTTTTCATGTTTCAACTGGTTTAATTGGTTTAGAAATTTACTAAAAACCGGTTGAAAAATATGGTTATTAAAAATCAGAGGTTACTTAAAGTTCTAAACCAATTAAACTTGCTAAAATTGAAAAAATAACAAAAGAAAAATATGAAAAAACAAAATTGCCCTTACTAAAAATAGAAAAGTCATAGAGAAAGACAAATGTTAAATGAAAAAAATATAGTCTCAAATTAAATTTAAAATTACAACCAAAGACAAGAAAATTTTTGTGGAATTAACTCTTAAATTTAATATGTTATGTTTTGGGAGGTACGAGGAATTGGTCAAGACTTTGAGATCTTATCCACAACCACAACAGTAACACGACGGATTGAAATTGGCACATATCCTAGTCAGCACATCGTATTCTGTCTGATCGTTATGATAGAATTGCTGACTTATGGCATGCACACACGTAATCGTCTAGTTAACTTTATTCCCCTGGAGAAATACTAAAATATTTTTAAAATAAAATATAATTTATACTCCGTACTTTTTTTTTTTTTGTGTGTACTATTGATTCTATTATTTAGAGGTGTATTCCAGCTATATTTTTATAAATTTTTAAATATTTTTATGACTTTAAAAGTCTGATGATACTTGATTTAAACATTTAAAATTTTTTAAAAGTCTATTTGTTTTCGATACAAACTTTTAAAAAGTTTTAAAGTTCGTTAGTATTTGATTTAGACTTTTAGGGTGTGTATTCAATCAAGGCTTTTATAAATTTTTAAAAACATTTAACAACTTTAAAAGTTTAATTGTATTCGTTAAAAGTTTAATTGAATTCAATATAACTTTTAAAACACTTTAAAGGTCTAATAGTATCCGATTCAATCTTTTAATTAGTCTTTAAAAAAGTACTCGTATTCGATTCAGATCTTTATGGAGTCTTTAAAAATCTACTTGTAATAAAAAACTTATTAACTTTTATATATAGACACTATAATAATAGAATTTCTGTAGACTTTTATTCACATATATAAATAGTTGAAATTCAAACTTCGAACCCCAAACTTTTCAACTTTCTTTACATACTTTTTTCTCTATCTAAAATAGACAAGCTTTTCATCTATTCCTATCAATTTTTATGGTATGTTTCAAAATTTTCATAAATAATTATATACTTTTAAATTTTTTCTTTTTATTTTCACACATATCTATAAAAATAAGTAGTAAAATTTTTATTATTTTTTCAAATGACAACTATATAGGTTTTGCTACGGCCTCTTGTTGGCACATTTTTTAATTTGTCTTATACTAGTTGATTTACCATACTTATTAGACTCATTTAATGTTTATTGAGTTCATATTTTTAGTTAGAATAGGTATGCATACTATCTACTTTGATCACTTGCACACTTGCACTAACCTAAAAATTTGAATTTAGAGGGTGTTTGATAGTCAAGATCAAATTTTCTTGGAAATTTAAGACGTGAAAAATAATTTTCACCTTTAGATCAACTAGAAATCTAATTCCATAGATATTAAAGAAAGTAAATCTAGCTTAGGAGATAGGATTATTTTTTTCGAGTGATTGGGAATGTATAAAATTTATTCATTCATGTATTTATCTCTTTATTTTTGGTGCCAAGTTAAAAGCCTTTGTTATAAATAAATAAAAAAATTTCTCAAACCGTTTAGCCCGTGTTCTAGTGGGTTGGGTGGGAGAAATCCCAACTCAACCCGTTTTATCCGGATTAAAGGGGCTGGCCTTGATTTACTTGTTTAATTGCTTTGCTCTCTTGCATTCTTTATTTGCAAATTCTTTACACCATGATAATTTCTCTCTTTAAATCTGGTAAGTGACAAGCTCTAGCTTCTCTTCATCTCGCTTAAACACCTCAACGCTTCCAAATTTGTCTAGAGTTGTCAAAACATGCCCAACCCCTCCGTTTAACCCGTGTTCTAGCGGGTTGGGTGGGAGAAATCCCAACCCAACCCGTTTAACCAGGATTTTATCCGGATTAAACGGGCTGGCCTTTTTTTTTTTTTTTTTTAATATTAATTGACTAAAGAGGCCCACGGACATTTCCCATTTTCCCCTAAAAATAAAAATCCCTAGTTCTTTGCATTCTCTGCAAAGTGCGAAGCACCGAAGCCGCGAAAGCGAAGGCCGAAGAAAACTGTCGACGACCTGCGACCAGGCGAACCAGCGACCGGCGACCTCTGACCTGCGCGCTGCCAGTGGCGGTTTAGTGTTCTGCGACCTCAGAAGTCTCCCGGTCTCTCTGCGAAGGCTAAGCTCTGTCGTCTCCCGTTCTCGACTTTTTGGAAGAAAATTAGTCCTAGAAACGTAATGTATATTAAGCATTAGTTGTGGTTCACATGTTTAGTCTAATTGATTAAGTCTGTTTAGTTATATTTTATCTCCTGTAGAATAGGTGTGGAGTGATTGCTAGTATTTCCACTATTTATACTCTGGGTTGTACTATGGTTGATGATGGAATACACATTATTTTCTCATTCTCACATGGTATCCAGAGCCTAACTCTCACGAGATTGTTTTTTTTTTTCTTTTCCTCTCCAATTCAATCTTATGGCGATAACGTCCACAACTGTGATCGTTCAATTGTCCGCCCCGACTAACTTCTCGATCTGCCTCACCGATGTGAATTTTCCAGTGTGGCGTCGCCAAGTTCGTTCGACCCTCACCGGTCTTGACTTGTTGGGTTATATTGATGGCACTGTTAAGGAGCCTGCTGCATTCCTTGATGTTGCATCAACAACGACAAACCCAGCTCATACGAATTGGGTACGGCAAGATCAGATAATTCTTGCTGCTCTTCTTGGTAGCTGCACAGACACCATTCAACCAGTTATATCCTCTGCCACTACAGTCGCAGATGCATGGTCCTGTCTTACGGCCAGTTATGCTAGCTCCTTAAAATGACGGATTATATCCATCAAAGCAAAGCTGGTCAGAAATCCACGTGGGTCCCGGACGATTTCAGAATTTCTTCAAGACATGAAATCTGTTGCTGATGACTTGGCTTTAGCCCAACACCCTATCTCGAATGAGGATCTTGTTGTTCATGCCATCACCCAATTAGGTGATGAGTTTCATCTAATCATGGCAGCGATTCAAGTACGTGAACCAGCGGTTACTTACGCTGAGCTTGGTACTATTCTGACCGAATACGAACGCACAATGAAACAGTGCACCGACCAATCTTCGTATTTGCCCACGGTGAATGTCACCCAACGGCAAGTGCCCAAAAATGGTTTCGGCTCATTTCGTGATCAGTCTAGCAACACCAACTCCCGTAGACGCCGTGGCCGTGGTCGCGGCCAGAACTCCACTAACCGTCAAGGACGGTTCTGCAACTTCTGCGAATTCTCGGGCCATGATACCAAGTTTTGCAGGAAGCTGGCTAACTTTCTACGGGACAACAACTACCAATTCAATGACGCTCAAAATACACGTACTTCTCAACCAGTGGCCAACTCAACCACCACCACTCCCGCAACTTCCCCTCAATGGATGTTTGACAGTGGGGCTTCCCATCATGCCACACCCAGTACATCCACTTTGCATGGATTTTCTAATTACGGGGGGCCTGATGAAATAAGCTTAGGAGATGGTAAGACTTTACGTATTACTCATACTGGACACACTGTTCTTCCTGCTAAACCTCGTTCCCTGTGCCTAAGTAATGTGTTATGCGTTCCACGGTTACATACTAATCTAGTCTCTGTGTCAAAGTTATGCAAATCTAATCGAGTTTCTGTCGAAGTTTTTCCTACTTATTTTTTTGTGAAGGATCTAGTCACGGGGGCGCCACTTCTGCAGGGGGAGAACGTCTGTGATGTCTACTACACACCTAATAAGCAATTTTCACAAATAAATATTTCACTTCAATCTTTCGTTGCATCCTGGCATCACCGGTTTGGTCATCCTTCTAACAGAACCCTTAAGAAACTAATAAAGTGTTACGGGTTAGGTATTAAATCTGCAGACATTGAAGCATTTAATTTACCTCTTGTAATATCAACAAGAGTCATAAGTTGCCTTTTGCAGAAAACTCGTTGTCTAGTTTCAAACCTCTACAGTTACTATACACCGATGTATGGAGTACTTCTGAGAAGTCCATTGACGGTTACTCCTATTATGTTATTTTTGTAGATTTTTTTACCAAGTACATTTGGTTGTACCCCCTTAAAAAAATCTGATGTATTCTTAGTGTTCCCGCAATTTAAGCGTCTGGTCGAAAAATTCTTTGGTTACAACATTGTGTTTGTCTTTTCTGACAACGGCGGCGAATCTGTCAAGTTAATCCCGATGTTTAATTTATTTGGGATATCACACTTTACATCACCCCCACATACCCCTGAACACAACGGCACAGCTGAACGCCGGCATCGCCACATAGTTGAAACTGCTCTAGCTTTATTACACAGTGCATCTCTTCCTGTTTCGTTCTGGTCTCATGCTGTCCAAACCGCTGTATACCTCATAAATCGGCTTCCCACGCCGATTCTAAAAAATCAGTCTCTTTTTGAGTATCTCTTCCACAAATTACCAAACTTTAAAAGGCTAAAAAGTTTGGTTGCCTTTGCTTCCCTTGGTTGCGCCCTTATACACGTACCAAATTACAACCAAAATACACGCCTTGTATTTTTTTGGGATACTTAACACCCCAATCTGCTTATAAATGCTGGGATTCTATTTCTAAAAGAATGTATGTGTCTCGACACGTAAAATTTATAGAAAATATTTTTCCTGCGCAAGATGATATTTTTTCCAAGTCTACAGGTTTGGCTCGCAATTTGAAAGTCTCCAAAATGTCTTCACCAAATGTTGCATCTCCAATTTACCATCCACCCGTGCCACATCAGACACTCTTCTCGTCATTCCCAGTTAACCTCAACTCAGAGAATGCAGTGTCACCACCTCCTGAATATCAGAATGCTGCAGCCACTGGTCAGCCTACCTTCACTTCGCCTAATACCGCGTCGTCACCAGGTCCAGCGGCAGTCGCATCCTCCGTGTCGTCGCCGGTTCCAGAGTCACCCACTCATTCCCCTGCGTCGTCGTCAGTTCCGGAGTCACCCACTCATTCCTCCGCGTCGTCGTCGGTTTCGGAGTCACCCACTCCGGCCTCTGCGTCATCGCCGGAGCCAGAGTCACCTTCCCAGTCTTCCGTGTCGTGGCCGGTTGAGTCACCCTCCCAGTCTTCCGCTTCGTCGCTGGTTCCAGAGTCGCACCCTTCGCCCTCTACGTCATCACCGGCGCCGCCGTCACCTCCCCCGTTCTCCACGATGTTGGCGGCTCCAGCGTCACCTTCTGTGTCTTTCTCGTCAGAATCCTCCACTGCGTCGTCCTCTTCCTCTATGTCTGAATATATCCCAACTCCTTCACCGCCCAACAGTGTTCTAGTCTCTTCTGCAATACCTCGACGTTCCCAGCGTCTTCGAACCAAAAACCCAAAATATTATGGGGATAAATTTTTGAACTCCGCCACTGTGCATCCACTTCCTGCTTCTCTTGAACCTTCTAATGTTATGCAAGCCTTAAAAGATCCTCTATGGCGTGATGCCATGGATGATGAATTTAGCGCATTATGTCGAAACTAGATTTAGGTACTTGTTCCACGGGGTGGTCACAATCCAATAGGTTGCAAGTAGATTTATCGTATCAAACGAAAACCAGATGGTACGGTGGATCGTTACAAGGCACGCTTGGTTGCCAAAGGGTTTTTGCAGGAGTCCGGACGAGATTACTTTGAAACTTTTAGTCTGGTCATGAAACCGGTCACCATTCGAATTATTCTTACGATTGCCTTGGGTAACAGGTGGATTATCAGGCAGCTAGACGTCAACAATGCATTTTTACAGGGCACTCTATACGAAGATGTGTATATGGAGCAGCCGCCTGGATACGTTGATGTCCATAATCCGTCCTATATCTGTAAGCTTCGTAAGGCGCTGTATGGACTGAAACAAGCACCTTGTGCTTGGTACTTGGAATTGTCAAATTTCTTGATATCTGCAGGTTTTACGCGCTCAAAGGCAAATACGTCTTTGTTTGTCTATATCTTTGATGGGGTTGTGGTGAACTTCTTGGTCTATGTCGACGATATTATTCTCACTGGTAATAGTGTTGCATACTTAAATGCCTTTGTGGCTAAATTGGCCAACCGTTTTTCACTCAAGGACATCGGCCTGCTTCATCACTTTTTAGGCGTTGAGGTCATAACCACTACATTCGGTATGTTTTTATCTCAGGGACGTTATCTCGCAGATATTCTAGCTTAGTTCAAGATGGATGGTGCAAAGTCTGTGTCCACTCCAATGGCTTCTGATTCGAGGTTGCGGATGGTGAAGGCTACCGCCGTCTGATTGGGCTATTGCAGTACCTCCTCATCACCCGACCAGATGTGGCATATGTTGTTAACAAGTTGGCTCAATACATGCATGCACCGAATTTAGACCACTGGCAAGCAGCCAAACGTGTTCTCAGGTAATTAAAAGGTACAGTTCATCTTGGCTTATTACTTAAGTTTGATGCTCCCTTGCGCTTGACTGCCTTTTCTGACTCGGACTAGGGGAGTTTATGGGATGAAGGTCGCTCTACCACTGCCTATGTCGTTTATCTTGGGACTAATATCATTTCTTGGAAGTCTGCACGTCAGAAAACTGTGCCTCGGTCTTCAGCATAGGCTGAGTACCGGGCTTTAGCTCATGCTGCGACTGAGCTAGTTTAGATTCAGAACTTACTACGTGAAGCTGGTATTCGCTTGCATCAACCACCGTCCCTATTGTGTGATAACTTGGGTGCTACATATGTTTGTAAGAATCCGATTTTTTCACTCCCAGATGAAGCATTTTGCTTTAGATTATTTCTTTGCCAGGGATATGGTTGCTGAAGGTTTGCTATCCGTTCGGCATATCCCCTCTTGTGATTAGGTGGCATATGTCCTGACAAAGCCGTTGGGGCGTGCTCTGTTTCAGAAGTTTCGGTCCAAGATTGGTGTAGCTGATGGTTCCTCCATCTTGCGGGGGCGTATTAAGCATTAGTTGTGGTTCACATGTTTAGTCTATTTGATTAAGTCTGTATAGTTATATTTTATCTCCTGTAGAATAGGTGTGGAGTTATTGCTAGTATTTCCACTATTTATACTCTGGGTTATACTGTGGTTGATGATGGAATACACATTATTTTCTCATTCTCACAATGTATAACTTTTTTTTTTTTTTAAGTGTGTGTTTAGAAAAGTGAATTAGCATCTCAAGGCAAGAAATTCATTTATTTTCTCTGGGATTTTAACCGTGTATCACTGTAGTGCTACGTCGATGCTTATGGGCTATGTCTTGAAATGGTCGTAAACTCACCCACAGAGTTAGAATCTAAACCTTGTTGAATGTTGATTGTTGATTTTTGTGTTGAAACTAGAAATCTTTAAATATAAATACTAATTTTGTTTGTTAGGAATTTAGAATATTAGATAAATAGACAAGTGTGTGAATAATAAATTAATAATAACAATTTTTGTAATTAATTATTTAATTTTTTTTAGGACGGGCTGGGTTGTAATCCCAACCAGTGTAAAAAAACGAGCCTGGCCCGTTTGTGGTCTAACTCGAGACGGATTAGTCTGTACGTGCTGGATTGGCCCATTTCGATAGCTCTGAATTTGTCATCTTTGAATTCGACATTCGGGGAATCTTCATTCCCTATCTTTTTTTCCATGCACCGCTATATCTACAAAGTGTTTTCACTAGAAACCTTCGGAGAAAGAAAGTCATATGACGGCTTAACCTCGGCCGAACCGAAATCATGACCGCCAGACGATTGGGTTTTGTTATTTTGTTTTTTTTCCCTTGTTTTCTAGAATTACATGCCTTGTTTTTTTGTTTTATTTTTTCCAAGACTTTTTGCCCTTATTTTTTCAGTATTATATGCTTTGTTTGTCCAATCATATCGTGAAACTTTGTTGGAATTTGATGTCGAGTTTATACTTGGTTTTTGCGTTTTTGATTTGTTTAATTTCTGTAATTTGATTTTTATTTTATTTTATTTTTAGAGATTTTCGTATGGGATTTGCCTGATGCGTGAAGCATTTTTTTGCAAATAAAAAAAATTATTATTATTATTTTAAAATGGGCCTCCGCGACAGCTTAGAAACGGTTGCAGATACCTTTTATTTATTTTATAAAAATGTACTAATAATCCGCGACAGTTCGTTTTTAATAACAGTTGTGGATGTTCAACATTTTTCAATTTCACAATGGTCGCGGAAAGTCTAAGTCTTTCTGTGACCCTACGATCCGCGTTTTACAATTGTAGCAGATAAGCTATACTATACTTAGTGATTTGGGCTATGTTATTTGGCTAATTAATTTAATTATTTGATAAAAATTTATTCAAATTATATTTTAATTTAAAATATTATAATTGTAATAGGATCATGAACCTGAGCATAGTAATGGCTAAATACTTTTTAGATAATTCATTATATCATCTCAAATGTTTATTTATTTATTTATTTATTTATTTTGAGATAATGTCAAAGAGTTTGAAATGAAGTGGAAGTTTCACATTTTCTTTCCTATTAATAGAGGCATTCATTTCATCACATTGAAGTTCTACAGATCAGAGTTCTCTCGACATTCATCTTGAAATTGACGTTTCATATCGAAACTGTTTGATGAGCCACCCGCATTTTAGACGATATGATAGTTGTTGTGACCCAATTTTTGGAATTTTAATATATACATATATACAATTTTTTTTGTGTGTGTTTACAATTTAAATAAATATACACCATTTTGGACCATAATAATTTACACTGCTAACTTTATAATAAGAAAATTTTACAATATTTGCAACACTTTTTACAGACACAACAAGACTTTTCAGGATCAATTAAGCAGTAAGAACTTTTAGATAAGTAGCACAACTTATATAGTTTTACCAAAGGATCGACGATAATCAATAAAGGCGATGTTCTGTAAATAGTTGTTAGCTGATTTTTGGGTTAGAGATTATAACAAGTTGATAATATTAACTGATTGTAGAAATGTGTTTAGTAAATTAACTGTTTGTTGATAGCTATTTGATAATTTCGTTCTTTTCTTAAAAAGCTAATTGAAAAAATTGATTTGAGTAACTTTTTGAATTTTAGCATTTTAAAATTACAAAAAGTTGATTAACCAAACACTTATATTGATTCTTAACCAAGTCAAACAGTTAATAATGATCAAATAAACTAAAATCGACTGATATGCAAACTATTTTACCAAACATGAACAAAGTCTTTTGCCCATCATCATTCTCGGCTATTTTTGCCTTTCGTAAATTGGCACATTATCCAAGGGATAACATTATTAATATTTAACATTATTACAACCACTAACACTATTAATATATTGTAATATTTTAAATAAATATGCAACATTTTAGACCATAATAATTTACAATAGAGAAAATTACACTTTTGGTAAGAGTGTTTGTCGATCAATGGAATTTGCAGAGTTATTGTTGTGTCCAATTTTCGTTCCCAAATTGGAGTGAGAACTGAGACGGAGATTCTGATTGGAAGCCAAAATTCAGACCTTCGGTAGAGGAATCTTCAGTCATTTGATCGAGGACTCCGATGGACTACCTCGCTGCCTGAGGGGGGTGGGGGGGGGGGGGGGGAGCAGCGACAGTTTCGCAGGGAACCCAAGCCCGCCTTCGTCGGACTACCTCGCTGCAATGCCAAAGCTTCCCGTCATCGACCCAAAACCAGCAACGCGGATATGAAACAGCGGCAACCGGGAGCCAACGACGCTTGAAGGATGAGAGATGCAGCGACATCACCGGAGAATCCAGCTCGCCTCCGCCATCTCTCAGCGCCGGCGACATCCTGCAGCAAGAGGAAGTTCCAGCAGCAGGGGAAGAGAGCCAAAAGGCCATCAACTGATGTTGGAGTCGCCATCGTCGAATTAAGAAGCCAAGTTCGTCGTAGTTCTGGTACGCGTTCTCGCCAAAAGCCGTCAACTGCCCAGTCCTCGTCATTGCATCAACTGGTACGCGAAGAAGGAAGCAAATAACTGTTCACTTTTATTTTAAATGTAAATGACTGTTTTGCCCCCAAGAAGAAAAAATTTAACAAGGTTTAAGTTTTTCTGGCAACATTTGGCCGTCGATTTGGCTGGAAGGACCAAATGTGTTAAAAATTGTATAGTTACGGAACTAAATTGATAGTTTTTAAAGTCAAGTACTCAAATTAACAAGACCTCAATAGTCACAGGACCAAAAGTGTAATTTTCTCTTTACAATATTATAATGATAACTTTATAGTATGAAAATTTTACAATATATGTAAATAATGAATCATTAAAGATTCATATAAATTACATAATTATGTGAATATATAAACAAACAATTGTATAACTAAGGACATTATTGTCTAGTCTAGACTAGATATTCAACAATCTAGCATTTATTACATTTTATTGTCCTATATATCTTAGCATCTGAGGTTATCCCCAGTATCAACACCAAGTTGCTGGCAGTACTCGGTGTAATACTCAACCCTCTTGCTAACCGTCTCCGAATTGGCACCATCGCACTCAAGCTGGCCGTTGATCGCGCGAATGGTGGCACCGAAACCCTGACCGGAGGTGATGAGAGAATGGCAATTGTTCATCCAATACCACAGGCCGGTCTTGAACGAAATAACTGGGTCAGTGGCGACAATGTCCGGGTTGTTTAGGCCGTCGAAACCAATGCTTTGGCCGGCCGGTCCATAGTTGAAGTTCCAGGATAGTTGGATGGGTCCACGACCGTAGTACATCTTCCCTGTTGCGCAAGGGTACTGTGTATTGGTTTCGTCGCAATAATCTCCGGAGGCGCCGTTGATCTCGTTTATGTAGCAAGTATCTGCATGGGTGTAGCACGGGTTCTAATTAGAAGATAATATATTCAAGATCATTTTGTTGAACATATTATATATAAATATAGATGAGCAATTCAACTATCAGCTTAAATTTTTAGTTGGGATGAAACACATGATAGGTTTCAATTTGATATCAAAGTTAATTGATGGGCGTGTTGAGCATATAATATATACGCCCTATTTAGTAACATAGTTAATTTTGGCTTGTTTGATCACAATTAGATGTTTGACTTGGTTAAACACCGAGTGTTTGATTAGTTAGTTTTTTGTAACAGCTTATTATTTCAAATTGCTAAACTTCAAAAAGATGTTCAGAGCAGCTTTTTCAATAAGCTTTTTGAGAAAATCATTTTACATGTAATCAGCTATCAGCTAACAAACTAATTTACCAAACATTTATCTACAATCAGCTAATGTTATAAAGTCGTCAAATCCACTAACCTAATCAGCTAATTAACAACTATTTACAAAACATCTCCATAAACATAAAGGTTCGATTCAACTATCAAATTAGACTTTTAGTTGAGATGAAACATATGTTTCAATTTGATATCAGAGTGAATCTAATACCAAAGGTGAGGTGATGTGTTGACAGTATATAATATATAAACATAAATGTGAAATTCAACTATTGATTTAGCTAGACTTTTAGTTGGGATAGTGCACATATTTTAATTCTTTTATTATCTTTGTAAATTAAAATATTCACTTTCAATAAACAAATAAATCGAAGTAACTTATATGCAGTTCATAGAAGTATTTAAAAAAAAAAAAAAAACTCACGTCCAGTTTCATGAGTAACGTGGGCGAAAAACGCAGCTATTTCTCGTTTAGAGTCATCGACAGACCCGACGGTTCCGAACTGCGGGTAGGACTTGACGGCTTCAAGAAACGAGGCACGCGTGTAGAACCCCTTCCCTTCGCAGCTGGAATCCGCCTGATCGGCGATGCCGTTGAAAAACGCATCGGAGACGATGTCGGACACGGAGCCACCGTTGCTAGCGGCGGTGTTGCACGGCCCTTGCTGGCAGCCTTGGCCGCAGTAGTCGTCACCGGTGCCGCAAAACCCCCACTTGCTGCAACACAGCCCCTCAGCACAGCCACAGTTTTGGGCCGAACTCAACCCTAGGGAGAATGCAATAAGGGCAAAGCATAGCAAAACTGAACAAAAATTCACCATTTTTAACATTCGAAAGTGTTTGTTTGTGATGATGAATGTGTGGGTTGCTGATACGAGTATTTATAGTGCCCAAAGTCAAACTGAGGTGATTAATGCATATTGGTAAATGTATGAATGCGTGAATGATGATTGTGAACTATACTAGAAAACGCGCAAAGTTTTTTTGTGTATTTGTCCACTCTGACTTTTATGCGTATGAAACTCTTAATTATGTTAATGGTGTAAAAATAGTGTGTTGTATTTGTTGACTTTGACTTTGAATCAATCTGTCTAAGACAGAACTTCCAGAAGTTAAGAATTTGTTACTCCGTTTCAATGCCTTTTACATTTGGGAACAGAAGAGAAGACGTTGTAATGTTGCATGATAGAACGGTTGTGTCATGTGTGATGATAGGTGAGATGTTAGTTAATAAAAAAATTATTTGTCAAGTACCTTATATTATATATAGTCTAATGGCATCAGTGTATGTAAAACAAATTATTTAAAAACATCTATTAAATTCATAAATTTCTACTAAATTATTATTGTACGTTACAAATAATTGTAAATTTTGATGATACAAATTAATACCGTAGACCACAGTAGTTCTGTTTTTAAACCAAACCCGAAAATCAATTTTCATTTATGTGGGAGATTGTTTGAAAAATAGTATTAAAATGGCATTGTAAGTGGTTATTTGTGGTACAAATATATGTGGGTCCACTTCTGATTTCGGCGGGGTCAAAGTGTATTCGTGTTCTCCGTAGTGAGACGAAGAGATTGATATATTGTACGCTCAAAACGGATAATGAGTTAATGAGCAATTGATTTTCAAAGTAGAGTCATTTGAATTAAAAAATGAAGGTCAAAAGGCTTAAAAGTAGCCTTTGTCCCACATTGGAAAAGTATGGGGATTTGCACCACTATATATACAAGAGCTTTTTAAATGTATGTATATTGAATTGTATAGCATTGAGATTCTTACTCGTGCGCAACGGGGTGCAAATCAAATCCCAAAATGAGTGACTTAGTAAGATTTTACACACTGAATTCCTTCTCAATTTTCTGTAATCTAAACTATGTTCTCGTTCGTCGGTTCTTTTGTTTGAGTGTAGCTTGTTTTATCTTGGGAAACGTAGGCTACAAGGTTCCTAGCACCTTTGGGAGGTAGCAAATAATGTTTTAAGGATTGAGTGGGTATCACATGACTCAAGCTAACCTTACGTCAGACTTATATACTTGTGTATCGAACTAGGTAAACAATACCTTGTGTCATTTACTTTCTGTTTGATTTACATTCTGCACTTAGTCGTATCGTTGTTGCAATAATTATTCGAACAAACAAGTTTAGGGTTTGTGATAAGACATTTTATCAAACAGATAAGTTAGATAGTTAACCAACAAAATAGAATATCACAAATACACAAAAATCAGAAGCTAGTTGAAAGAAGTATGCCTGGCACAAATAGTTATGTGATCATCTTGATTAACTTCTCGCAATGGTTGTCAAAAGACCAATGGCTAGTCTCTTAATACAAAAAGAATGCATCAACCTCGAAATGCGTTAATGCTAGAAAGTTTTCGAGGATGCAAAGGTATAAAAGCGTCGTTTGACACATTCCAGCTTATTTGACAATAATAGCTCTACCATGAAAAAATGGGTGATAATTAGAAAGAGAGTTTTTGTCCTTGAAAGCCCTCATTTACACAAATAGGGAGACTATCTTTACGTACCCTAAGGACTATAGGAGCGCAAATCATAACTTTGGCAGCATGATTTTGGGGATGGCGATAGTTCTTAGACGACTACCACTTACTTGAGTAACAATTGACATATTTGAATTTCAAATAGGCGTTCAACCTCCTTCATCGTCTATAAAAAGATGGCCCCATGCTTAAAACAAGATGTTGATCTTACGAATTCCTAAGATTACAAGAAAAAGAAGCTAAGCTTTCAAGTAATATTTAGTCTGATAAACAAAGAGAATCATTTGAATTCTAAAGTCCAACTTCAAACTAAACCATCTATTTCTTTGAAAAGGTGTTGGAAGATCATCTGAGCAAGGAGACTTGGTAGCTGATGTAACACCCCTAATTTTCAATCTATTTTAAAACATTTAAAGCCCATGAGATAAAGGTGAATCTATCATTAAAGAGCAGAACTAAACACAAGTATCGGGGTGCTATGCCACATCTAAGCTTGAGAGCCTAGATGCACAGGCTAAACTAAATAAACAACGCATAAACTGTAAACATTATCCAGATACAAACGTGGCTCACAGGCCGTCTAACTAAACTAGGACTATCTTGTACTAGGAACCATGATCTTGTCTAGCGCGCGCACTCTCGTACTACTGATTTGTACCTGAAAAACATATGGTGTAGCAACCGTTAGCGAATAATGCTAAGTAACCCACTCCCACGCGTTGAGTACAATATATAGATATAAGAAAACCATTTTGAGACTTGGGAATACATAGATATAGTCCTAAGCAACTCTAGCTTTAAAGCTAAGTCCAGACCATGACTCACAGTATATCATAGATACCGACATGTTAAGACCACATCAAGATACCAGCATGCAAACTAACACCATAAGACAAGACAACGATAAGGAACACATAGCAAACACTGACTACAAGTCAAGACAACAATAACAGACAATAATAAGATCACATAACAAGACACGCCCATGTTCCAACCTTATACCAAGTTCCAACCTTTATGCCTCTCCAACCTTATATCAGTTCCAACCTGTACCTCCAGACCACCCTGTACTCCACACCCTTATCCCTCCGGAGCACTGCATGCTCCCCTCCAACATAACATCCAATCGTTCCACCGATCTCTCAGCACTCGCAGTGCCATTACATAACATGATCTGTGCCTATAGCACAATGATCGAGCACCCGCAGTGCCATTACATAACATGATCCGTGCCTATAGCACAATAATCAAGTGGTCCGTGCCTATAGCACAATGTTCAAGAACTCGCAGTGCATCATACCTCCAACATATCTTTTCCCCAAATCTCATATCTTTTCATCACCATGGGCAACAATAATCGAGACTCAACAACAATCGAAACTCAACAACAATCTTATCAAGGGATAACCAGGGAAAGGGACACCACATACGAATAGACTCATAACGACACGGGATATCAACCAAAACATACAACCTATGGGGAATAACATAAACCATACTTTGGACCCACACAATATAAGTTTAGACCACATTCTTAGACACGACCCACAAATCACGTTACGACACTTAAGACATCATGTTAGACTCGCATACGCCAAACGAGACATAACGGGACACGGGAAAATGACTAACGAGGGAAAACAACACACAGCACCGCTCGTACCAGTGGACGGTACGGCGGGAGGACGACCTCCCGCCGGACTGCCCATGTTCCAGCGGGACTTCCGGCGGGTGGTCAACCACCCGCCGGCCACCCGCTGGAACAAGGGCCTCTTTCCGGTGGGTGGTCGAGTGGGGGTTCGTTTCCCCACCGACTACCCGCTGGAACATGCTTCTTGGCTAAATTTCTCATCCCGGGAATTCATCAATTATGCCCAAATTCAAGTCCAAACGCTTCCCAATCCACAACAACAGTAATAGGGACTTGAACATCAAGAATAAGCCAAGAACCAACACAATTAAATCCTAAAAACAAGCTCTAATCATGCCAAGACTCAAGAATAAACACATAGTTGTTCAACAACATCAAGAACCACAAGAACACAAGATCGTGCATATAAACACTTACGAATACCAAGAACATCAAGCAATCACAATATAAACCCCAAGACAAGCTCTATCAAGGCATAATTACAAGATCATACATACGATTATCAAAGGAGCCAATAAATAAACGATAGCAATGGAAATAGGTTTTGTAAGACATGGGTTACCTCTTAGCATTAATTTAATCTCTCACAACTCCTAGGATCTTTCTTCACGATTTCCTTCCAATTGATCTTTCCCTAAGCTTGGTGGTGGTGGATTCCTTGGCTAGGTTTTCTTGGGGAATTTCGAGTAGTAGGAGTATGGGTGGTGGGGTTTCTAAATGCTTTCTAATCCCCTATATATAGGCTTGGGAATCCTAATTAGAATCTAAATAGTAAAGGTCCACTTTCTTTATTTCTAACAGGCTTTAAGGCTTTAAATCAGGCGAGGGTCCATGATCCATCGTGGACCACATTAATTAATTAAGGGGTCCTGACTGAATTAAACCCTTTCTAATTATTGTTAATGGGATTAATTTAAATGATTAATCCGAATTTAAAGGGCGTAACATGGGGTGTTACACTCTTCCCCCCTAACAAGAATCTTCGTCCTCGAAGCTTAGACGCAAGGCGATCAAATAAGAGAAACAGAGAGAGAATTGTGTGGCAAGACTTAGGGTGTGATTAACAACCCAAGGGTCGCTTGTCATGTGGGATATACCATGCTAAACCAGCTAAGGTTCATTCCTGCGTTTAGTTAGCTTACTTTACTTAACGTCTAATCATGACATAGGCTTTTAAGCAATTTAGGAAATTTTGTCACACCTTAATATATATGATTGCACGAGATTGCATATTGAGTATATGATAGCATGAGATTGCTTATAGATTATATGATTGCATGAGATTGCATATTATGTATATGATAACATGAGATTGCTTATAGGTTATATGATTGCACGAGATTGCATGATGAGTATATGATAGCATGAGATTGATTTGAGATTATATGATAGCATAAGATCGTTTATTGAGTTATGTGTTAGCATGAGATTGCTTACTGAGATATATGATGTTATGAGATTATTGATAAGATAAATATGTGAAAGTATGAGTTTGTTGATAAGTCAAATATCTGTGAAAGCATGCTTATTTGAATAATTATGTTGCAATCATATAGAAACCATGATGAGCATGTTTATATGTTGTTTAAGTGTTTGAGAATACTTGATTTAAGTATGAGAAAGCTGTTTTCCAAAAGTATATACTGTAGTACTTTACAGGGTTGAGTGGCGTTATACTTAGCTTCGTGCTAACGAGTTTGTTTT